CTAATTTTAAAGACATGTATCAACATTTACGTAATACCGGATATTATCTTGAAGTACTTGGCCATCCGTTCACTTGTTTTGACGCAAGAAATTATGGGACTCTGCTTATTGTAGATACAGAGGAGGAATTTTTTCCTGAAGAAGTATGCATTTATGTTTTACGTAAAAAATTACGTACTTTCTGTATGTTTACTTATATATGCTGACGTGAAATGGTTTCAATTGTAGGTGACAAAATTAAAACAAGATGTGGAAGAGAACGGTCTATCAGTAATTGTATTTGCAGACTGGTACAATGTAGCAGTCATGCGAGAAATTAAGTTCTACGATCAGAATACCCATCGGTGGTGGATACCTGAAACCGGAGGTGCCAATATTCCAGCGATAAACGATCTGCTTTATCCTAATTGGGGTGTAGCATTTAGCGACGAAGTACGAAACGGTCAGTTCACCCTTGGCCAGCACGCGCCAGTCATATTTGCGTCTGGCACTACGTTAACTAGGTAAAATATTTTGTACATAGGGAACTTAGTTTAGATTGTATACAGCACATTTTTTATATTTATTCAGATTTCCAAAGGATGGAATCGTTCTGTATGCAGATTTATATGATCAAGGTCAAGAGCTTCTGGAAAAAAAATCAGGAATATCTACACTTGTACCAATACTCGGACTTTTACAAGTGACGAATGAGAATGATGTTGAAGTGGCATTTAATGTTAAATTTCATAATGAAATACAAGCAGATCAGAATAGTGAAAAAAATGTCAAAGATCAGACGAGTACGTCCGGTAGACTCGTTGTTTATGGAGATTCAAATTGTATTGATGACAGCCATTTACAAAAATGTATGTATTACAAAAAAAATATTAATGACAAAATATTGTAAATATTGATAAATATTTTACGTTAGAAAACATTTTAAATTTTCCATTTCTTGAAACATTCTGAATTGTACAATTTCATTGGATATTATTTATTGAAATGATATTATTATTCATATTTAGCTTGTTTTTGGATGCTCGACGCTATTTTAGAGTATACAACGACAGGGTACGTACCTACTGTTTTCATGGATGAAAGTCAGAAAAAGCACAAGACTGTTAAAACGACCAGTAATATAGAGATTGGAGAATTACCATATCGAATGAAGGAAAATCATTTTAGTCGTCATAGTAAAGTATTAATAACTAACGGACCAGCAGGTAGTTTTAGATCTCTTCCGTTATGTACCACTCTTATCTATGCCGTTCCTGTACCAGTCAATGAATCTGTGCCAATGTAAGTAATTTCACACGTATATATAAATATTATTTTAATTCCAGATACATTTCATAAATTTGCTCAATTTTTTTTCTTGTTCCTATATCTGAAAAGTAAATGCTAGAAGAAAATATTTTTAAATTGTATTCCACTTACCTTATAATTGTAGCAGAAAGAATAGAAAATTAGAGACTATAACTAAAAATAGATAGCTCTTATTTAATCTTTAGACAGCTGACATTTTTTCATTAAAATATATATATATATAGTGATTCTTTTTTCTCAAAAATTTTGCTATATAAGTAACATACACATTGCGCAAAATTTCGAGATTTGTGCAGAGCCACAAAAATAGCTTTCCTAGCCGGGAACATACGATCAAATATAAAAAAATGTTTATTTTCTCTATGTTTATATTCATTTATGTTATTAATATTACGGTTAAGGTTCGAAATTTTATAAATCTATGCTCAGAGTTGGTATCGCTGTGTGTGATTCTCTAATTCTGAGCATAGATTTATAAAATTTCGAACCTTAATCGCAATATTAACAACATAAATAAATATAAACGTATAGATTTAGAACTTTCCTTTACCCAGAGCAAACGACGTGGACGTAGAAAGTTTGTAGCTCCTTTTTTTTATTGTTTTTTTAATTTATTAAAAAAAAATTTTTTTTTTCTGGTTTTATAATTTTTTACTTTTTTGTATATTTTTTATACGTTTTATAATTTTTATTTTTTAATACATACACACATATATTTAATACATTTAGTATTTAAAATACAACTAAACTAATAGTAAAATTAAAAGTAATGGTATTTTAACTCAAACTCAAGAGCCACAAAAGTGGCTTTCCTAGCAGTCTAAAGGTTCAAGTATTCAAGAAATATTCTATCATTACTAATTGTTTCTAGATTTTTGCGAACATCTTGAATATTCCTTTTTTTTTTAATTTTTTTTCACAGAGAACTTTACAGGTCTCAGAAGATAGTTTCTGTAGGAAATACCATGAGCGCAGCAAATTCAGTAATGCAAGATACGGACACTTTTTGGATTAAGAGACGAATTGGTGGTGCTGGTATCTCTACATTGCAACATCTTGACACTGATATTACGGCTTATGACGCAAAAGAAATTCAGGAAGAATATGTGATTGTACACCAATGGAGTTACGTAATAGTAATAGTTATTATAGTGACAATTATCATGTATCTGTGCAGTTATTTGGGATTGAACAGATATTCGCGCAGGAAACGTGTTATACTGAGAATATTTGGAGCCATTCGAGCCTTGGTTGTGCGTAGGATACCTATACAAATGTAATTTGATAATTTTGCAAGAATTATGTATTGTATTTAAAACACACATAGTCAATATAATTTTTTTAAATAATTGGAATATATATTTAAATTCCAAGAAATTTGTATACAAATTAGACTATGTGCCTTTAAAACATACAACGTGAATTTGTAGATTATGTAAATTATTTTGATATAAAAAAATTACACGTAATTACAAAAAACAACGTTATTTATTGGCTTTCTTAAACTAATGAGATAACATAAATAATATTAAATTGTACATTTCGCTTATTATATGTTTTAAAGTCTTTAACCCCTTCCCCCTCCTAATCAGTATTCGCTCTGCAACTTTCTTAATTGATAGTCGTGTATTAAATATTAATGTATGTTTAATTTAACGTTAGCATAATTGAACAATTTTAAAAAAATCAAAATTTGAAGAATAATAACATTATGTAAATGAAATATGTAAAGTTGTGAAAAATATTTGTTATAAAAAATTTTTTACAACGTAATTAAGAAAATGTCCGGATTCATTGAACTCGCACATACTAATTAGAGCTAAATCACAAAATTATAATGTAAATCGTTTTTTACATTTTCTTTCTAAGAATATAATTTATTAACTGATTTATATATACATTAATTATAAAATGGATTATAAGTAACCCAGTGCGCTCTATCTTGTTCTGTTGCAGATTTATGAGTAGTAAAAATGCTTTTGAAAACTTCCGACGCTTTAGGATCTTTCGCAACGCTGTAATCGCTTTTAGCTTTTTTATAAGCAGGATCATCGGCCTCCTTGTGATTATTGTTCAATTTAGGAATTGCTTTATCCTCCTTCTTCATCTTTTTCCTGGACAATTCGTCCGTCTTCTTTTCTTCTGTTGAGACATCATCCTCCAATTTCTTCTTCTTTGACTTCTTTTGACTAGCTTTTCTAAGCACCGCTCGCTTCATCATGAGGTCCACGTCGTCTCCTTCTGCATTTAATATGACTACGTCCGTCTCTTCAAATGGTTGCTGACATTTGTGACACGACTGTAAAATTTAATTAACAATGTAAATAATAAAAAGGACATGTAAGAGTCGGTTATAAAAATCGCACAAATAATAAGTTAAAAAAGTTAAGATATAATATTCGACTATAATTAAATTAAATTGTGAAATTTAACATTTTTTTGTTGTAAAACTTATTCAGTTAATATTTATTTTCGTTATATAATTGAATATTTTTACTTACTGTACTCTTTACTTCTTTGAGGGCACGTTCACTCATTACACAGCCGCATGACCATAAGAAACAGAATTTATATTTTCCATTCATTTCCAAACCAATGACTGGGCAAATATATGGGCTTTTGCCTCCATTGTTGTAACAGTCTCCTTTCTCAGCTTTATCACCATCAAATGCTGGATTTGGTGTTAAATTGAGATTCCTTACATCTTTCAAGTTCTTAATATGATCAGCAGATTCCGGAAGGGTATTTCGATCTAAAAGACCTTCCAACACAGCTTCTTTACTGTACAGACGACCTAAGCCACAACTCACAATTGGTGATTGCAATGGTAATTGCCGTATCGTACAGTGCTTCCACTTAAAAGCTAATTCTGCTTCTTTGTCTTTCTGTAAATAGATATATACATACACATATAGATATGCAATATGAGTAATAATATACAGAAAATAAATAGACATTTTCTTTTAAAGTAACTTACATTAAAAATAATTTAAAGAGATTACGAAAAGAATAAAATCAGCTTAAGATTGCAGAATAAAAGAATAAAAAACCGAGACTGATATTGTAGTTGAAGTTTTTTTTTTATTGAACAAGAACTTTTCTTCTCTTGTTTCGATAAATATTAAATACATGTATTTAAAAAAACAAATATAAACACCTATAAGCAATAAGACTTATAAAGCAATGAGACTTAAGGTTTGTTCGCGTCTCATGCTCTGACATGTTGCTATCATGGATCCTACCAGAGAGGTTTCTCTCTGATCCTGCTCACTCCAACGAGCGCGTTGAAGTGAATAGAAGCTAAGAGCGTATTGGAACATGCGACGCGAACGAATCTTTAATATTTAAGATTTTGACAGAAATTTCAATAGAAAAATCGAACTTCTCTAAGCGAGGTGATAGACTTTCCAAATTTACCTGTTCTGGTTTCCTTTTCACCCTAACGAGCTCGTCCCTGCGAGGAATAGTGCCACCATCGCAACCCATGACGATGCTTCACGAATATCTCAATATATTATGTAAATATTTTCCTCTTCCTCTCTCGATTCCAACGAAAGCCAAGAATGGACAAGAATAGGATGAATGGAATACTCCAAAACTCGAGAGAGTATTATTAGTGAAGCGATGCGATCGTAAAAAAATGGCGGCAAGAAACGGCGGCAAGAAACGGCGGCGTCCTAACACGTCATCGTCTTCACGCACGACAGTGCTGCCAATCGCTTTCTTAAAATCACTTTCCTGTATGACGTAGATTCCTACATTTGTCCATTCAATTATTACAATTTTTTCCAATCGGTGCAGCGATAAATGACAATAAATAATGACGGACAAAAATGGGATTGTAAGCGCGGGACTCCAATCTCAATCGGTTGAATCGGCCGAAAAGGTTGGAAAAGGTCGAGTTGGCGGTACTGCGACGCGAGTCAGCTGACGGCACGGCGTTGTGGGGCCGCGGCGGCTTTAGTTGTCGGGCGGGTCGCAGGGCAGCAGCACGCAATCTGTCATCACGTGAGCGGTCACAATGGTCTCTAATGGTCCTGTCGTCGGCGAACAGCGTCGTCCAGCCTGCGAAATCCTCTGAAGTCTCCTCGGTGGAAAGCCGACCTGGCGACCGACCGTGCGACATCGACGACGGTAACGACGAGGAGGCAGCTATCTCCTGCTGGTACGTGGCTGGTGGTTACATTCATCTCGACGAGACGCACGCGCGGGCACGCGCCTGCCGTTTTCGTTCCCGAGGCGAAACGTTACGGATAAATCGACGTCGTCGAAAACGATCCGCAAAGATTTTCGGCGCGCGATTACCCGCATATAATTCTCGATTTTGATCCGCGTCTACGTTCACGCTCTTCCGCGCCCACCGCCAACGCGTCGCGCATTATCGATCCCTTCGAGAGGGCGGCTCGAGGTCCGCCGACGCCATTGGATTGGTGACGGCGGCTATTTTTCTTTCCCTCATCATGGGATTTATTCGTGTATTTCTTCAAAGATCTCATTCAGAAATCTCGTCCAAGGACGCGCCGTTCTTTGACGCCACTACCCGTCGCGGATAGTTTCCTTTTTTGTCTCTCTCTCTCTCTCTCTTTCGCTTTTAATTCTCTCGATATCGATCGGCCGTACATCGCGGGTCGTTCGTACGTACGGTCACGTGGAAAAAGCGCCTAATTACATAATAAGCGGACGCTCCTGCCGTGCCACACCCCCTTCCGTGCGGCTTATCCCGCGAATTTAATTCAGACGAAAGACTTCCATCCGACGACCACTCGGGTCGTCTATGGGTCGTCTTTCCTCGGCTCTCTACCTCGACCGCTGTCTGCTGCGCAAATGCAAGCGGCACGATGCATGACAGGATGGCAGCAGGTGGTTGTTTGGGAGAGATCAACCCTTTACATTTATTGAAATTGTAAAATGATTAGTTATATTTATTGAATGCAGCAATTAAAAGTGATATAAAAAGATTTTTGAGAGTAAAATTATTTTTTGTAATACTTAAGTAATTTAATATATTATACTTTTATGTATACTTAGCTCTGTTCTTTTTAACTGAACTTATTACACACAATTTATTCTTTCTTTTTTCCTCACCAATATAGAAAAAAAAAGAGAAAAGATGAGTCGTGGCAAAAAGTTTAGTTAAAAGGAACAGGTCTCTTATTGAATTTTTCATGAAAACAAGCAATTAAGTAATTACATGTGTACACTTAAAAACAATTTTTTTGTAATTTGTTTACATTTTGGAAACAAGGTCGTTTAAGAATTTTAAATTAACTGGTGGTTGGGATGTCACAATTTCAGGTTTATTAGAACTTCAGTAGCAAAACACATTCATTCATGATGACGGAATATTGGCTGATTTCCGCGCCGGGAGATAAAACCTGTCAGCAAACGTGGGAAACTATGAACAATTTAACATCCAAGCAGCACTCTCTATCTGTGAACTACAAATTTCACATCCCGGATCTGAAGGTTGGAACATTGGATCAGTTGGTTGGTTTGTCAGACGACCTAGGCAAACTTGATGGATACGTGGAGCAAGTAACACGCAAAGTAGCGACGTATTTGGGTGAGGTTCTGGAGGACCAGAGGGACAAGCTACACGAGAACCTGATGGCCAACAATAGTAAGTAGAAGAAATACCTCGTTGTCTCTTGGGCCTTTATATTCTTTCGACAATATTTTCCATATGATGGAGGAGTTATTTATCCAGGGGTCCAAACCGTTATCTGCATTTATATTCTTCTATTCCATTAATTATATATTTATCTTGTGATTATTAAACAATATTCAATCTAATTAATAATGTATGAAAGGCTGTCGATTCCATTTGTGAGCGAATATTATGAGATATTACACATTCATTTTAATAGTTTAAACTTATATTCTCTATCTTGATGGAGAATAAAAAAACAGTATATACGCTGCACTAAAAGATCCGAATTTATAGAATATTGCAATCCGCACTGTCCAATACAGTTTGGATAAGTGTGCATTGCGTATGTCATCTGTGATTTGATCAAATGGAACATAGAAGCAATTTTACGGATTATTATTGTTATAAAATATTTTGGACCCTTGCCAACAGGTATCGATCGATTGTCTATGCATCATTTTCTTATAACGCTCAAACTTAGAATAATACAGTCTGTTGATTAACTAACGCACCAATGAATACTATACACGACACGAAACATGCACACTACTTCGAGTTACCTTTTTTGCCAATGAACTTTGATATATATCAGTTATAATTACTCTAGATTTTACTTGATTTTTTGGAGATAATAATAAGTTTATATTTAGAGAAGTATAATCCCCATTTCTCCCCAAAATGCCCCATATCGTAGTTTGATAGAATGAAATAATTTTGTCTGTATACACAATTAGTACGTACAAAAAAATATGATATGTTGCATAATGTTAGAACATTTTGCATGTTTTAATAGTTTAACTAGATGAATACAGACAAAATTTTTCTGTAGTATATATATATATATGTATTAACATATATATACATGTATGATGCATATCATAGATTGAAAATAATTGTTTTAAACCTTTTTTATATTATCTATTTATGTATAATATAAAATAATTACATAATTAAAGTAAAATAATCTGCAATATATTTTTTAAACCAATGAATACTTTAATATTCTAATGTACTTATATATTTAATTATGTATTAAGTTATCTATGTATGTGATATGCTTCATATATTAGTACTTAGTTGATATATTCGTAGAATGCTTATTTATGTGTTTGGTTGTTTCCGTTTATTATCTATGACTGTCTTATTTCTAAATTTGTGATGTTGCTTGGCTTACCTTTTATTTAACTTTGACCACATTAACCCTGTTTCCCCACCCTTTTTATTATTTTATTAATAAATGCCCGTATATATGCACTACACAAAAGTTTGTATTAAGGTATAAAGGAAAAAAAGATGCGTCTCGAGACACGAATAATATATAAGATCACACATAAAAGACAAACGAAACAAAACACGGACAGATCTGTGGAATTACTAGACCACCACGCGTATCAGATAAAATTTTCCGCAGAACGCAAGAAGTTGCTTGGGTTACTGTGGTCACCAAGCTCTAATTAGCCACTACAAGATTTCATTTTCCTTGGTTCTGTTGTCATCAGTCCTTCTTTCATATTACTATCTGTTTGCGATGCACCATATAATTTCAAGTCTCAATGACTATTACTTTTTTACTTTCCAGTATACATTTTATGAATATTATCGATTATATTTTCTCGAATATTCTTTTTGTTGCTTAGTTTTTCTACTTCGTCTTTTCTACTTTATTTTTGCATTATATTGGAGTATTTAACGTTTAATAAGGTGATTAATACGAGAAATCATACTTTATATTTTATGTATATTAAACCAGAAATTTATATATTTTTAATTCTTTTCCGAACACATTCCAATTAATATATAAAAATTAATGATAATATATAGAAATTATATTAATAGAATTATGACTTCACACAAAGGAGAAAGCTTTTGATCGTATACATGATATAATTTACACATGAACCAACTAAATTTTTAATATTGTAGAAGAGTATTCAAAGTACTTGGTGATGCATTAAATTGTTTTGCAATGTTATTATTGAACATTGTATCGTTATGATTACTTTAGAAAAGACTGCTATTTATATTTTTATATCTACATACATTTTAGTACATTAATCGAGTTTGACCAGTTGATATTAAATTACCACTGAAGTCAACATTTAAATCTGAATTTCGTCGCTCAAGTTAATTAAAGTAAGATGATCGGCGCTAAATACTCCACACTTTCTTCTCTTGAGTTATTTTTCATTCAGTTTCGTCAGCATTGTCGTTAGGCATTTGCGTAGGAGACAATAATAGTTGAGCAAGACAATAAAAAAGATCGCGTGGAGATTGGGACTGGGCTGTAATGGATAGGTCAAACATCAATGGATGGGGAGAGCTCGAGCCCCGAAGGGGGTCCGGACACCCCGCCAAACACCCCTGTTACACCATCACACAAGACTACGATGGAGCATCACAGGCAGTGGAGGGAATTGGACAAGTCCGAACCAGAGCCGGCCGCCTGTTTAGGTCAGCATCATCACCAACATCATCATCACCATCATCACCATAGCTCCCATAAACATCACCACGATGGTCATTTCTCCGCGTTTGAAAAGAAGCTGTCGTACGATCTTCAGGGCATCTGTGATGTCAAAACTCAGACCAACAACTATACCTCGTCGATATATTCATGCTACCATGCCCATTGGTGCATTGCTTCTATACCCTCGACGCCACGCTCCAGTCCCATTCCTGCGAGTCCGACCCTCTCTTCCCTCTCATCGAACTGTAGCAGCGAAGGAGAGCTTGGGTGGCAGCAGCCGTTACGTCCGCGGACCATCACCGAGAAAGATCCAGATCGATCTACCCGCAAATCGGTTGGAGGTGATGATGACGACAACGACGACGATGACGATGCGGACCAAAACAACGACCAAGACCAAGACCATAGTGGCAATTTGCCGAATCCAGGTACCCATCCTGCCACTGGCCAGCCGATACGAGATCCTTCTCCTTTTTGTCCTTCTCCTTCTTGATACATAGCTGCAAAGCTTTGTTCATCCCGTGCACCACGTGTCTCGATCTAGCGACTGAATCATTATCATGTTTTCTTGAGAAGTAAATGCAGGAAAATTGAAAAAAACGGAGAGATTGTCAGAGTAGAGATACCTATTATAATTTACAGGATGGTAAAAATACGTTTGAAAAAGTCTGGAAATAAAATAGACAGAGAAAAGAAACTATTTATTTTAGTGTCAACTTCTATCATATAGTAAATACAATGCAAGTGCACTTGTAGTCTAATTCTTTAAATGTTAACTTTGTGTTTTACATATCTCTATATATATATACATAATGCAAAATTTTTATGAAAATATCTTTCTAATTTGCTCATTTTAATAAGGAGGAATTATTTATTGTTGAGATGTTTTTCATATTATTTTAATATTAAAATTACTATCTTAATCGCGTAATATATTTTCATTATATAAAATATAATAAAAATATTAAAAACGTTATAATCTTTTAGTAGCAAGGAAGCGGCCAAAATATATGACAATCTCTCTTTTGATAAAATAAATATATTTAAAATGAAAGCAATACATCTTTTTCGAGGTTGTAATAAAAGACGTTTTCTATTTTGAATTTATTTAATGAATAATTAATAAATCGGAAGCTATTAAAAGGAAAATTCATCATTCCGTAGCACATCCTAATTATGATGTGTGAGTGTGCATATCTTTTTTTCACAATTGATTTTCTTCAAGAAATTCCGCTGATATATGTTTGGTTTTTGGCTCGTTTGTCTTCACTCTTCCTTCCTCTATAAATTGGTTATGTATAATTATATTACAATTTTACATAACCGTTATATTAACGTATAAAAGCTCGATATCCCATTTTTGGTGGATCGATTTGTATATTATATATATCTAATTATCCACCAGACAATTTAGCTTTTTCTCCTAATTTTGCTCTTTTTTTATTTCTCTACAGATATATTTCGTGTATCGCTTTTGCTGTCATAAATTATAGCAACTT